ACCTCTCTGGTTAGGAATTTCCACTTTTTTCCATTTTTGAGAGCCTTTTCTTACTCCCACAAGGGGCGTGAGCTTCCCTCCCCACTTCTTCGTAGCAGCTTCTCATACCTATCCTCTGAATGGGCGGCGACAGCTTCCTTCGTGCGTCACATGATCACCACTCGACCAATGATGTCTTAGTCGGGCGTGGACGAATCCGCGGCTTTGTTTCAGGAAAAAAAAATATCTTGCTTATCATTTTCTCTAGCCGCAAACAGGACAAGACGGTGGTCATAACTCTTGTTCTACACCTGGGATTCGTCAGTACTTATCGCTAATTATCAGAATGGGTGGCCTTTTTAACACGGCCAAACGTAGCCCCGAAAAGAACATTTCTAAGTTCCCATTCATTTCCTTTCGGTACACATTTCTGATAACATAATTTTATTATCGCAGGCTAAAGGTCTCGCCTTTTTTTTTCCTTCTTTTCTTTCTTTTCTTTTTCTGCCTCGGTAAATGGTGCCACACCCATAATCCATCATAAAATTTCAGGATGTTTAGTAAATACTAAACACTTTAGATATCTGGTTTCGGCCGTTGTACGCTATGGCCTTCTTCACGAGGTGGGGGGATTGTTCTAGTTCCACGTGCCATGACTTACCTGGGTATGTTTCAGTTAATTCCTTTCCGTAATTCAACTCTCTCAGTTTTTGTTCCCTTCTGCCGTGGTCAGGTATTGAACTCACAACTCTTTTTCGGAATTATTTCAACCAACGCTTTTATCCACTGAGCCACGGAGAGAAAAAAAATTAGACACAACACCTCCATCTCAAACATATAGACAGATGAAACTGAGAGAGTTGAATTACGGAGAGGAATTAACTGAAACATACCCAGAAAAGTCATGGTACGTGGAACTAGAACAATCTCCCCCGCCACCCCGTGAAGAAGGCGGTAGCGTACAACGGCCGAAACGTCACTATAAAAAGAACCATTTCTGATCGACATGTTTTATCTGTCTGTATTTTTTAGATGAGGTGTTGTGGCTATTTTGGTCTCTCGGTGACCCAGTGGATAAAATCTTTATGAGATAATTGCACAACAGAGTTGTGAGTTCAATAACTGGCTACCGCAGAAATGAACAAAAACTGAGAGTTGAATTCCGAAAAGGAATTAACTGAAACATACCCAGAAAAGGCATGGCACGTGGAACTAGAACAATTCACCCCACCCCGTGGACTAAATAAAAGTGTCGGTTTGAAATTCCAACCTATATCACCGAAAGAAGGCCGTAGCGTACAACGGCCGAAACGTCATGTGTGTGATAATAAAGACTAGAACAACAGTCCGAATAATGTAAATAGTGTAGTATGTTATATTATATATATATATATATATATATATATATATATATATATATATATATATATATATATATATATATATATAGAGAGAGAGAGAGAGAGAGATGAGGAGTTCCAAAATTAGTACATCAGCTACTTTGGTTTCAAAGTTTCGATATCGTCAGTCGATTTTTTCAAATAAAAAATAACTATTTATATATATATATATATATATATATATATATAGAGAGAGAGAGAGAGAGAGAGGGGGGGTAGAGTTTAAAAAATGAGTACAACTACCTTGGTTTCAATGTTTCGATATCGTCAGGCGATTTTGTTTTAAATAAAATAACTCTTATATATATATATATATATATATTAACCGAAACATACCCAGAAGTCTATTTTTAATTTCTGGTCTTATGCCTTCCCCACCCACTTAAAGTTTAGGAAAAGAGGTAACAATTTTTTTTTTATTTTTTATGTGTGTGTGTGTGTATATATATATATATGCGTGTGTGTGTGTGTGCGTGTGTGTGAAAATATATAGAAAATAGGAAAGAACTCGTTCGGTAAATAATCCAAATTTCTTTAGTATTTTTGTTATTATTAAAAAAAAAGCAGTGCTCGATACAAAAGTAGAGCCTAAATGTAATTATTTATTTAAAAATATGATTCCATCGCTACATAAGAGTTCTCATGTTTCTCATGTTTCAAAACAAGAGCCGAAAATTTCAATATAATTATTTGAATTAAATTGAATTAAAGTATCAAGCTCTGTTCCATCTTCAAGCGAACATTTTTTTTAATAACTAATTCTTGAAATTTACGCGTTTTATAAGCATATTCATTATTAAAATTAAAATTACTATGGTAACGGCTAGAGCAATTATTTAAAAAAAAAAGGGGGCGTAAGGGTTAATAATTTGTATCAATATCTCAGTTACATTCAAAGAGGTCAAGTCAAGGTAAGGTTGGGGGTGTCTAAATTCAAAGCGGAAGATGATATCGTCTAGTCTAGTTAATGTCTATGGAATTTTTTTTTTTTTTTTTTATTTTATATATATATATATATATATATATATATATATAAAACCTTTAATCTTACAGCAGATGTGCCTTAAAATAAAAATAGCTGAGTCATTTGTGTTTATAATGAGGCTAACAGTGTTGCCACCAAGCGGTAGAAACAAAAATTAAAGCGAGCGATTCAACCTGTGCCATCTCCCTACCTGCCCTCGTCTATCCCATTAATCGAAAAAATGTAACCAAAACAACACTGAACACACGATGTTTCTTGTTAATGGGCTATATAAAAACAGACATAGATAGCTAGAGGAAGAAAGACAGAAAGGAATAAAGAAAAAAAAGATACTTTCAACAGTATGTTAAAAAAAGGAGAAAAAGAAAAGAAAAAAATTATATTCGTTGTACTTGGTTGGTCATAAAATGGATGACAAATTTACTACTTGATCGCGAATAAACAGAACTCTCCCAGTTTATCTTGTAAAGTAAATCTGAAAATGAAACTACATAAACGATAATTTTGATCTGATTTACCATCAAAGTTATATTAAGCGTTCCTTTCTTTCTTCTTGAAGTTTTTTTCTCTCTTTTTATTCTTCGGCGTACTCACGCGTAATTACGCGTGCAAATGGCAACGCTCGCCAAAAAGAAAACAAAACAAAGCAGAACAAAAATTAAAAAGAAATTTAAAAATAAAAAATAAAAAATAGACAAAGTTTCTACTTTGACAAATCAATGCAATTCAGTTCGCCTGAGTCGAATTCAATTCGAGGCAAACAATTTCTGTTGTAATTCACCAGAAAAGGAAAAACAAGGCACTTCGAATTTCTTTGTGCGTTAACCTAATCACGACTGCAAATGAGCAAAGTGAAACCGAGTTTAAAGTGCGCAGAAAAAAGTAGTACCGGGTTTGACTTGTCGATTTTCATGAACGCGAACTTATTCGGGACTTTTTTCTCCATGCTTTCATTTCTTTAATTTCATTGGCTGTTTGAGTAGAATTTTTTTTTCTTTCTTTCTTTCGTTTCTTTTTCTGTTCAATTTTGATTGGTCGATTCTTCTAGTCAGTAAAATGGCGCGATGGTTACTTTTACTGCGAGCTTTTAACTTCATTTATTTTCTCGCGATTGTTAATATTTATTTCGTCTCGAAAAAGAAATGCCTTTTGTATTCGTGCGGCCGTGAATAAACAATGCTTCATGGCGTATGTCTTGATTTATGTGAATATTTAAGCGTGTGAGTATGTCGCTTACTGCAAGGCTGGTTCATTGTCTTGGATTTGTTGATCTGAAATTTGGGGAAACCGATCCTAAACTGCTTAACGCCGGGATGATTTGGAGACCCACATTGAAATAATGCAGCAGACACGTTCCTAACTGATTTGTAGAAATTAATACGGAATGGTTGGCAAAATCTGAACGCTGGAAAAAATAAAGAATGGTGCCATGCACATTGGAACGCCTGAAAATGCGTGTATCAATATTCGACTAATACCTTCCATTGCAGTATATAAAGAATTGTCATCTCCTCGTGTTACCGTGTTTTTTTTTTTTTTTTTTTTTGCTTGTGCCAGAAATAGGGGATGCATACTATACACAGATATTTTTTGAATAGGTTAAAAATCAAGCATTTTCGATGACCAGTTGAAGAATACACTCATAATTTTTCTTTTTCCAGAGGGGTTGAAATTCATGCATTCACACTGAACATTTCCGGCCTTCCTTTAATTTGCGAAAAGTTCAGGAGGACACGATAAAGATCCTAAGCATACTGCCTTAAAGAATAAACGTATACCTACAGAGGAAGCACGACGAGGATAAAATGCAACTCTTCCAGTGGCCTAGTCACAGTCCTGACCTTAACCCGATTGAAAACCTTTGCGCGGTAATGGACAAGCGTGCCCGTAATAGGAAAGTTAACACTGAAGATGAGCTTTTCCGCGAATTAAAGAAATGTAAAGGAATGCTGGAAAAATCTGGCGAAGGACGTTGACTTACTAAAGAATTTAGTCTATAGCATGCCACGAAGAATTAAGGCCGTTATTGAAGTAAAAGGTTACCGAACAAAATACTAAATCGTTTTTGGACTTGTATAATGTAGATCTATATTAAGGCCCTACATTAATAATCGAACTCTATTGCTCACTTTTCTTGGTAAAAATACAAAAATCGACTTTCTATAGGTGCGTCCATTTTTTTTTTTTTTTTGCCTCGTAGTGTATCCCAGCTGGAATTCGAACTCGACTCTTCGATTCCATTTCATGTGCTGTGAATCGTTAAGCGACCTGCTCGTCTCCAATGAAAATACATTTTAAAAGGTTGGAGTAAAATTTCGTCGATTTGAAACTGACAGAGGATATTTTGGTTTGCCTCCACGTGAGTAGAAGGAGATAAAAGCAGAGGTGATTGCGCTAAGTAATTGGATGATGTTTGGTTTTTGGGAAAATAATCAAATTTTCTCGACTGCATTAACTGCTCTGAAACTTTCTTGGCAGCCCCACAGATATGACACGGGATTAGATTTGATAATTTTGAAGAGGCGCTGAAAGAGAGAGAAAAAAAAATGAAAAAGAAAATGAGAAGCAGAAAATCAGGGAAAATTTTAAACAAACATATTTAAAACGTTAAGAATGATTTCAAGAATTATTAAGACAGAGCCAGATAGATAGATAGATAGATAGATAGATAGATAGATAGATAGATAGAAATAGAGGTGGGTGCTACATATTAACAGCTTTATTATGGATATAATCAGATTAAGATACTACAAAGATAGACAAAGATAGATAGATAGATAGATAGATAGATAGATAGATAGATGAGAGCTACATATTAACAGAAATATTATGGATATAATCAGATTATTAAAGTGACATCTACAAAGATAGATAGATAGATAGATAGATAGATAGATAGATAGATATGAAAAATTGAAAAACAAAGAAAGGAAAAAATATGAACAGATGAAGAACAGGGTGTGATAGTAAGATAGAGAGAGAGAGAAATAAAGAGATGGACAGAATTAGATAGATAACTTCCATTATAAATATATCATATTTTAACTATAGAATGAGATAGATACACACACACACACACACACAAACATAGATAGATAGATAGATAGATCGCTTCCATCATAAATATAGCTTATTTTAACTATAGAATGAGATAGATAGATAGATAGATAGATAGATAGATAATGATCAGACTGACATAGAACAGACGGAGATAGGTATGGCTAGAGAAACAGGAAGGCATAAATAGAATAATATATCTATATGCGTAGGCCTCCCTGTTCTTCTTTCTTCTATTACACCCTCTCTCTAGAGCTTTATACCTTTCCCTCTCACACTTGTTTCCCACTCCCACACATACACTCTCACTAAAATTTTGTTTTTCTTTATGCCCGGAGTTATATTTTCCTATTTCTTTTTGAATTTGTAGGTCTGATTAATTGGATAGTGATTACGATTCCAATATAATAAATTATAACCATGTAATATTAGCGTTTGAGCCTCATATATATATATATATATATATATATATATATATATATATATATATATATATATATATATAATTAGTTAGTCAGTGAAGTTATTTGGCAATCCATATGGAAAATTCCAAGGAGTATGTCATCCAGAGAACTCAATGAAGATTAAAAAAAAATAGTAATAAATTGAATTAATTCTTATTCTAACAGAAATTAATGCATTTTTTTTATTTCAACTGATGAAAAAAGTATTCGTACAAAACAAAAAGCATATTAACTTAATTTAATACTTTGTGGAATATTCTTTATTGAGTTCAACAGCTACCAGTCTATTCCTGTAGGTCTCAACTAATGATTTGCACACATGGAGTGGTATTTTGTCCAATTCTTCTTGGCATATTGTCTTCAAATTCTTGATATTTGTTGGTGCTCTTTTCCCAATTTGAATTTTCAAATATCGCCATAAATTTTCGATTGGGTTCAAGTCTGGGGACTGACTTGGCCATTGCAAGACATCAACGTTACTTTCAGCTAACCATTTCCTTGTAGATCTAGCGGAATGCTTAGGTTCATTATCCAGTTGGAAAACTCAATCAAGACATAGCTCTCAACAGGACGCATTAAATTGTCTTGCAGGATTTTCTGGTATCTTTCGGCATTCATCTTGCCATCTATTATTGATATTCTGCCAACACCTTTTGCAGAAAAACAGCCCCAGATCATGATACTGCCACCACCAAACTTTACAGTTGGCAACGTATTCTTTGGTAAGTAGGCTTCACCGTCCTTTCGCCACACGTGATTTCGATAATTATGACCAAACAACTCTATAGTACTTCTTCCCAAAACGAATATTCTTTATCCTTATGCTCTCTAACGAATTTTAGCCTAGCATCTCTGTGTCGTTTCAAGAGGAGTGGAGTCTTCCTTGGGATGCGTCATTTCAGACTGTTTTTGTGTAGGTCATTACTTATTGTACGCTTGGTTACTTTAATCCCTAATGCACGCAGATGTTCCTGCAGCTCTTCTCGGGTAACCTGTGGATTTTGTTGGATCTGGCGTCCTAATATCCTTGCTGATCTTAGAGAAATCTTCCTCGGAGCACCTGTTTCGACGCTGTTACGAGTTTTAAACCTTGCAATGAACAAAGCAATTTTAGTAAAAGGAATATTCAGGTTGTTGGAAATCGTTCTGTAACTGTTCCCATCTTTCGAAAGAGACAAAATGTGTTGTTTTTGTGAAATAGTCAATTCTTTACCTTTAGGCATTATTAGAACCTTCTCGTAAGACTAGAAATTGCAGAATGCTCTCATAATGGCTAATAGCGTTAACTATAATTACTGATAACATTACTGGAACATTCTAGAATATACTTTTTTCATAATTAATTGATTATTTTATTCTAATAATTGATTTGTACGAATACTTTTTCACCAGTTAGAAGTAAAAAAAAAAATGCATTAATTTCTGTTAGAATAAGAATTAATTAAGTTTATTATTATTTTTAATAGTATGTGTCTTTATACATAAAATGTGCCGAGATTTGTTTTATTTAAGGCTTTTACATATATAAAAATACAATTTTCCAAGTGCACGAATATTTATTTCCCCCACTGTATATATATATATATATATATATATATATATATATATATGAAATGAAAGTTCTCTGGCTACGGTTTTTATAATTTATCTTGAGTTCTTGCAATTTTTTTTCTTTCATATATAAAAAAATTTCTTTTATATAAACAATGTCCAAATGTTTTATATATCGAAGCGCTTTCGGCTACACTTTTAGCCATTCTCAAGATTGAAATATATTTTACTTTTAACTGAATATATAGATTGTTTCATGTATGTAACTGGGCTTATTCTAATGAATTATTTTCAAAACACGGTCAACATGTTTTGACCGTGTTTGTAGTTGATATTATTGAGTGTTGTTTGCTTGCCTTTATTAATAAGGCTTCCATTATTTTCAGCCTCTTTGTACATGTCGATGAGTTTATTGTATTTGTATTATCAACGAGTATGTTACGAATACAGTTTGCTAGATCTCCGTGTCTATTTAAATGAGAACGAATTGAACTATGATCAATGAGATATAACGTGCGTCTTCTTGTTAACCATGTTGTAGTATATCCAATATAATTATTTACGAATTTGGATTGGTCAGGAACATAGTTCCTTAAAGCACATGTGAATTTGTAAATAATATTGGCTTGCTGTAATTTGGATCTTGCAGGTGAATTATTACTTTTGACAATGAAGTAATCGGTTTTTATATGCTTTATAATAAATAATTAATTTAATTTTCTTGTTTTTGTTACCTGGATCTGTGTATTTCTATTTAAAGCCGTTTAAGTTATTTTTAACGAAACATGCATAAAAGAAGGATTGCTGCCCAAACAGACAATTTTTAAATTACAATGACCCGGCTGTCAACATGGATAGTAATGCTACATCACTCAAGAAAATAGAATAGTTGTAGTGTTACTTTACTTGTTGGCTGGTAACGCTACAACATTCAGAATAGTTGTAGCGTTAGTTTTAGCTGGTAGCGTTGGTAACGCTACAACATTCAGAATAGTTGTAGCGTTAGTTTCCTGCTTAGCTGGTAACGCTACAACATTCAGAATAGTTGTAGCGTTAGTTTCCTGCTTAGCTGGTAACGCTACAACATTCAGAATAGTTGTAGCGTTACTTTACTTGTTGGCTAGTAAGGCTACAACATTCACTATAGTTGTAATGTTACTTTACTTGTTGGCTGGTAACGCTACAACATTCACAATAGTTGTAGTGTTACTTTACTTGTTGGCTGGTAACAGTACAACATTCACAATAGTTGTAGTGTTACTTTACTTGTTGGCTGGTAACGCTACAACATTCACAATAGTTTTAAGTGTTACTTTACTTGTTGGCTGGTAACGCTTCAACATTCAGAATAGTTGTAGTGTTAATTTACTTGTTGGCCGGCAATGCTACAACATTCTGGAAAACAGAATTATTGTAGTGTTACTTTCATTGTTGGCCGGCACGATAAAACATTCAGGAAAATAAAATACTTGTAGTGTTACTTCCCTTGTTTGTCTGTAACGCTACGTCATTCACGAAAACCTTGTTTTTACGACAAATAACAACAGCTAAAAATGAAATCCTACATTTAAATAATGAAATCTAAAAGCTGCTTGTCTTGTTTGACTGCTTCTGGATCAATTTCACAAAGTGTTTTTAACTTAAAATGAGAAGTTCCGGTCAGGAATCTACTGTAGCGGGGAGCATGCTGAACCCCTTCAGCTGACTATACGTCTCATACGAATACCAACTTCTTTGGCAGCTTGGCGTAATGTTGAGGTATCTATCTTTACTTATTCAGTTAGAATGTTCAGATATCTATATTTATTTATTACCTTGCTCTTATTTATTCTGCAACAGCTTCAAATCCAATTTTTTCGAAAGATTTCAAAATACCGTTCCATCCCATTAATCGCGATATAAATTGATATTTAAAAAGTTAAGTAATCTTTTCATATAATATCATTAACACTCTATTTTTAATATTATTTTAATATTTTATTTTTTTAGGGCGGGATCCTTTTTCTCTTTGCTATAGCTGCCATCCCCAATGAGGCTTGCTTATCTTTCGGAGTATTCCAAATTGTTCATCACCACTGAAGGTTTGCCTTTATCAGCTGGCAGTATGATGATACTAGTATCACTTTGTAAACACTTCATTGCCAACATTTCTTCTACTGTGATATTTGATTTAGACAGTTTGGCGTTCTTTAGCACTTGTCTCACTTTCCACATTAACTTTGAAATCTTCAAGGTACTCTTCTTCAAGGTACTCTCCTTCACCGGATCTATCATGTCTAAATATGGAACTCGCCTTATACTTTTTAGTGAAGTTGAGACCATTGTTCAAAAATTACTAAAAATGCATATTTATATCAAAATAACCAGCAATATATTTTATCTTTAGTTAAAGTCATACAGCATCCTTCATTATATTTAAATTTATTATGAGGAGGCACGGCGGAGAAATGGATAGCGGCTTGGATTGAGGAATCGGAGAGCCGAGTTCGAATACCAGTCGAATCCATTACATTCACTTACATGCTAATACCCTTGGGAAAGGTGTGAATCCTCTTTCTTCTCCCCCAGCTATGGGTAAATAGCAGGACAGACTGGGTTCTATAGCCTTGGATGGCAACTGGTCTAGGAGAAGGAAAACTCTGAATTCAAACCTGCTCTTAGAGGAGGGTGAATAGAGTCTCTCTGAGCCTTGGTCGGCAATCCATTTAGTGATGGTGTCACGATAAAAGCACCCTTGATAGCCCTAGCGAAGCATCAAGAATTCAGCTATTTGACAAGATTATGAACTACAACTACAAAGTATTGGTGAGTTCAATCTCGGCTGAGGCCGCAAGATGATAATATTTAGATTTCGGCATGAAATAACCCATAGAGGTGTTGATATGCCGCCAAACAATATCTACCAACCAAAAATAAATATTTATAGTAAAATTAACAAAAAAAAAACATATTTAAAACAAAATTGTCAGCAATATAGTTTTTTCTGTAGTTGAAGACAGCTTTGTTCATAATATTTCGGCATGAAATAACCCATAGAGGTGTTGATATGCCGCTTAACAAAATCAACCAACCAACAAAAAATACTTATAGTAAAATTACCAACAATACGTATTTAAAACAGAATTGCCAACGATGCAGTTTTTTCTGCCCTTGAATACAGCTTTTTTCGAAATATTTAGATTTCGGCATGAAATAACCCATAGAGGCGTTGATATGCCGCTTAACAAAATCAACCTTCAAAACCTTTTAAAACATCACGTGGAAAGTCAAAGTATTGATAATAGCATTATTTTCCCTTTTGTGGCGTGCTCAAGATGTGTTCACAAATACCTGACGCTCCCTGTCAATTTAGTTTCCTTATTTAGAAAGAAAAGACGGCATAATAAGATAAAAACTAGCAGAAGAACTGATTTTGACACTGAAATAGCGTCAAATCAAAGCACGCAAAATAAACCATCACTGCTTTCGTTTCCCTGACTCCAATTTGGATAATTTTCAGATTTGGTCGACAAATATTCATGATACAATTAAAAAAAAAAAATGAATTATATTTAAAATGCCAGTCGGAAACATTGACGTTAAAATTTTAGTAATCTTCCAGACTATTATTGTCCTCAGGCAAACCTTATCATCACCAACACAGTGATTTGCCTTAAATTAATTGAATTCTCAGATTAAGCGCTTTCATTGTCTGTTTTATTTTGCTATCAGAATGTTCTTCGTCTTATTGTCGCTGGTTATTGGCGGCCGGACACACTTCAGATGTCAAAGTAAACAACGTGAGCTTGAAAGAAAATCTTTTCTGACAAGATGCGACAGCAACGACTATAATAAAAGGAAACAGGTCAGCAGACGATGTGTAGGACAATTCAAATCTGAAATGATTCTATCTTAATTATCTCCCTTGGGCGTTTGTTTCAATTACTCATTACCGGTGTTAAATAAATGACGTCTGGTTTCTGTCTAATGACGGCTCGACGCGTCTCAAGTCGATAAAGATCGAGAATTTTCTCATCGAAGTACTGACCAAGACACAAGATTGACAATCGATATATTTGTGATGTTCCGTATTCTCTCTAGACAACTATTTTATTTATTTTAATAAAACGTTTACTAATGAAACAGTCTAATATCGTAACCAAAGGTTTCGTAAAATGCTTCCTTTTTTTTATTGATTCGTTTTTTACGGTTTATCACCCTCTTTGCTGGGTATTTAAAGCCAGAAAATATTTTTACATTGTAAGGTTGTTTTTTTTGTTTAGATAACAATGGTTCTTACTAATTGACCCATAGCAGGGGGAGAAGATGAAGATTCACACCTAATCGGAAAATGATTAGCAATAAATTATAGCGGATATAAAGTGGGAGATCAATTCTGTATTACAATCACTACATAAACTGATCCCTCACTTTGTGGCCACATCAGTTTCTATACATGTATATCCAAGAAAATGTAAATAAATCTAAAAGATATGCCTCTGTACTAAAACAGTATTTGATTGATTAGTTGATTCATTTTTTACGGCTTATCAACCCTTTACAGGACATTTAAAGCCAGCAAACAATTTTAGATTGTAAGATTTTTTTTAAGATAATAATCGTTTAGTGATACAAGTCTTACTAATTAACCCATAGCAGGGGGAGAAGAGGTGGATTCATACCTAATCAGGATTTGATAATCAAACACGAACTTATAATGTGGATATAAATTGGGGGTCAATTCTATATAGCTATCAATAGATAAACTGATCCCTCACTTTGTGGTCACGATAGTTTCCATATGTTTATATTCCAGGGAATGTAAATAAATCTAAAAGACATACGTGTGCAGCTAATCAGTATTTGATTGATTGACTGATTTGTTTTTCTACGGTTTATCAACCTATTGCAGGTTATTTAAAGCCAGAAAATATTTTTACCTTGCAAGAATTTTAGGGGTTGGGGAAAGAATAATAATGTGTTAGTGATACAAGATTTACTGATTAATCCACAGTAGGGGAAGAAGAGGTGAATTCATACCTTTCCTAAGCATATTTGCGCGTAAGAGAATTTAAGTAACCCGACTGGGATTGGAATTGGAACTCGGCTCTCCGATTTCAAATTCGGAACCATTATCCATTGCACCACCCACACATCCAAGATTTCAGAACCTGGCATTCCTAAGCGGTCACCCATCTACATACTGACCAGGCTCAACCTTGCTGAACCTCGATGAACAGCGGAGAACAGATGTTTCAATGTGAAAATTGAGTAAAAAATTGAGTGTCTGTGATGTCGATAGGATCGAATGTAAATAAATGAAATAAGTATAATATATATATATATATATATATATATATATGAAGAAAAATATACAGAAAAAAAAAATCTTAATATGCAATTATGCTGTATTAATGTTAATATAAAGTCAACATCGGACGTTTCAGTCTATTTTAGACCATCTTCAGGACATTTAAAATAGACTAAACGTCCGAGGTTGACTTTATATTAACATTAATACAGCATAATTGCATATTAAGATTTTTGTTTGTTTTTTCTGTATATTTTTCTTCCTACTGTCGGATCTATATCCATATATTTTTGCATATATATATATATATATATATATATATATATATATATATATAAAGGAAGAGATTATAGTTGCAACGGAGAAAAGTGTGTATATTAAAAAGAAGAGAGAAACCGCAAACGTTTTTGATTGTAATGTTGATTTTTGTTTAAAAATATTATGCTTTATTTTCCAAATGGAAAATAAAGCATAATATTTAAAAAAAAAAAAAAAAAAAAAAGAAAGAAAAAAAAATCCATATTACAATCAAAACGTTTGCGGTTTCTCTTTTTTATATATATATATATATATATATATATATATATATATATATATATATATATATATAAATAGGCTCAAACATTAATCAAACATGTGTGTGTGTGTGTGTGAAACTTTAAACATTCATATGTTTTGCAGGTTATTTTAGATTCTTTTTTCTTTTATTCGCATTTTTCTTTCACGCCTTTTTTTCTTCACTTTTCTTCTTCTTTTTTCTTCGTGATTTTCCTTCCTAGTCTTTTTTTTTTTTTCTTTCTTTTAGTCTCCTTGCTTTCTTTGCCTTTTTCTTTTAGTCTCTGCTTTCTGTCGTCTGTGAGAAATTGACTTTAGACGAGAAGCCAGATCAGGACCTATCACATTGCATATCCGTCTCTGGATTTAGTCGAGGACCTCGAGATGAACAGCGGGGGCACCAGATCATATATGGCAACGGTATTCCTTGCAGGGACGAATGGCACGTTTGTAGATGTGAAGAATGGTCTCAGACGAGAAAGAAACACCTTCTGGCGCGACACAGAGAACCAACTTTCCTTGCGATAGATGAAGCCATTTGTAGAAAAGACAGAAGGAAGCCACGTCACGTCTGTGAGAAGGTGACTATAGTCGATATGCCAAGTCATGACCTATCAGATTGCATATTCGTCTATGGATTTTGACGAGAACCTCGAGATGAACATCTGGGGTAAGGGAACATATATGGCAACGGTATTTAATGCAAGGACGAATGGTTGATTTGTAGATTTGAAGGATGGACTGGTGCGACACAGATAACAAACTTTCTTTGCAGTAGATGAAGCTATTGATTCAATCTGGTTGTTCCCCCTCAGGTAAATGGCGGATTTCGCCCAGTTTTGACAAATTTGGATCGTTTCTCGGCCTTTGGCTGAGAAACGATCAAGGGTACGACTAGCTTGGACCGGCTCTGGTCTTGACCTGCTAGAACAAGCCATGACCAGCTTTGACTAAGCTCTGACCAGCTTGGATATGCTATGACCAGTTTTGGATCAATGGCCCTAGAGTGGAAAAAACGCTCGGGTCTCCCACGTTAAAACGACCTTGTGTCACATCCTGACCCCGTGGGAGTCAAGTAAATACCCCTCAGGTAAGTGGAAAAAATGAAACCATTCGTATTTTTTTCTTTCTTTTTTTCTTTTTTTTTTTTTTTTTTGATAAGGGGTTATCGAAATCACTGATTGGAAAAAAGAAAGAAAAGAAAGAAAGAAAGAAAGAAAGAAAGAAAGAAAAGAAAGAAAGAAAGAAAGAAAGAAATTGATAGCAAGGAGGATATCGAAATCACTGATTGGGGGAAAAGAAAAAAAAGAAAGAAAAAGAAAGGGGGATAAATTGGGAAAAGAAAGAAAGAAAGAAAAAGAAAGAAAAAAGAAAGAAAGAAAGAAAGAAAAGAAAAAAATAAAGAAAGAAAGAAAAAAGAAAGAAAGAAAAATTGATAGCAAGGGGGATATCGAAATCACTGATTGGGAAAAGAAAGAAAGAAAGAAAGAAAGAAAGAAAGAAAGAAAGAAAGAAGGAAAGAAAGAAAGAAAGAAAGAAAGAAAGAAATTGATAGCAAGGGGGATATCGAAATCACTCATTGGGAAAAGATAGAAAGAAAGAAAGAAAATGATTAACATAAAGTAAAAACTTTATGTTAATCATTTTTTTTCTTTCACTCTCTATTTATTTTAGTTTGTATTTTAGTCTTTCTTTCTTCCCATCATTCTTTCTTTCTTTTAGTCTCTTCGTTCTCTTCTTCCTTCTCTCTTTTAGTTTATCTTTCTAGTCGTCTCTCTTGACTGTTTCGTTTTCTTAATCTCTCTTTTATTTTTCTGTTTCTTTTTTCGTTATACGCCCTCTCCTTTTTTTTACTTGATTGTTTTTTTTAACTTCATGCCTCATTTTGGTTACTGTTTCTTCTCATTCTCTTAATCTACTATTCCTTAATTCTTTCCTCACTTTTATCGCATCCTTTGTTACCTCCCTTTGTTTGTCTGTTGTCAGCGACTCTTTGGCTGCGACGGAAGTTGCCATTCTTTGATCCGACCAAGCGTAACAATTGTTTCACTTGCTTAAATCAACGCACGTTTTTTTCTTTCCTCTCTTTTCTCTAAATGTATATTCGTTTCTCACGCTCAATCCTATGCTCAATTAACTGCTTTGTGCATACGTCTGTTTATCTGTCTGTTGAGGAGGGGGGAAGTGTCTTACCCGACAAACTAAAAGCAGATCTTGTACATAAAGAGACTTGCGGGTTGCGACGTGCTTTCAAACTAATCAGTCTATTCGCAATGATAACTCTGACGAATCGATTAAGAGTCCGTTTATATATATATATATATATATATATATATATATATATATATATATATATATATATATCTATCTATCTATATCTATTAGTCTGTTCATTATCTATCTATCTATCTATCTATCCATCTCAGTCTGTTCTATTTATCTATCTATCTATCTGTTCTATCTATCCATCTCAGTCTGTTCATATCTATTCTATCTATCTATCTGTCTGTCACCTATCTGTATCGTATCTATCTCAGTCTGTTCATATCTCAATCTATATATCTATATCAGTCTGTTCATTTATCTATCTAGGCTGTTCATATCATCTATCTATCCATCTATCTGTCTGTTCGTATCTATCTATCTATCTATCTATCTATCTCAGTCTGTTCATATATCTCAATCTATATATCTATATCAATCTGTTCATATCTATCTATCTATCTATCTATCTATCTATCTATCTATCTATCTACCTATCTATCTCAGTCTGTTCATATCTCTCAATCTATATATCTATATCAGTCTGTTCATATTTATCTATCTCAGGCTGTTCATATCTATCTATCTATCCATCTATCTCACTCTGTTCGTATCTATCTATCTATCTATCTATCTATCTCAGTCTGTTCATATATCTCAATCTATATATCTATATCAATCTGTTCATATCTATCTATCTATCTATCTATCTATCTATCTATCTATCTATCTATCTCACTCTGTTCGTATCTATCTATCTATCTATCTATCTATCTATCTATGTCGGTCTGTTCATTATCTATCTATCTATCTATCTATCTATCTATCTATCTATCTATCTATCTGTTCATATCTCTCAATCTATATATCTATATCAGTCTGTTCATATTTATCATTTATCTATCTCAGGCTGTTCATATCTATCTATCTATCCATCTATCTATCTATCTATCTATGTGTCTGTCTGTCTATCTATCTGTCTGTCTATCTATCTATCTACCTATCTATCTCAGTCTGTTCATATCTCTCAATCTATATATATATATCAGTCTGTTCATATTTATCTATCTCAGGCTGTTCATATCTATCTATCTATCCAGTCTGTTCGTATTTATCTATCTATCTATCTATCTATCTATCTCAGTCTGTTCATATTCAATCTATATATCTATATCAATCTGTTCTATCTATCTATCTATATCTATCTATCTACCTATCTCAGTCTGTTCATATCTCTCAATCTATATATCTATATCAGTCTGTTCATATTTATCTATCTCAGGCTGTTCATATCATCTATCTATCCATCTATCTATCTATCTATCTATCTATCTATCTGTCTGTCTGTCTGTCTATCTATCTATCTACCTATCTATCTCAGTCTGTTCATATCTCTCAATCTATATATCTATATCAGTCTGTTCATATTTATCTATTTATCTATCTCAGGCTGTTCATATCTATCTATCTATCCATCTATCTCACTCTGTTCGTATCTATCTATCTATGTGTCTGTCTGTCTGTCTATCTATCTATCTGTCTGTCTATCTATCTATCTACCTATCTATCTCAGTCTGTTCATATCTCTCAATCTATATATATATATCAGTCTGTTCATATTTATCTATCTCAGGCTGTTCATATCTATGTATCTATCTATCTAATTGGGCAAAAGTACTTTTCAGTGGTGAAAGCAAGTTTAATTTATTTGGAAATGATGGAAAAAAAACAATGTAAAGAGACGTATTGGTGAGAGATTAAATGCAAAGTGTACTAAGAAAACTGTCAAGTTTGGGGGCGGAAGCGTCATGGTATTTGGAATGTTTTCTAGCCAAGGTACAACGCCTCTTGTCCGGTTACAAACTCGTGTAAATGCGCAGATCTATAAAAACATTGTTCAAGATCATGTTGTGCCAATCATACAGAATTCAGTTTTCGATAGGGCTACCTTTATGCAAGATAATGCCCCATGTCACAAGGCAAAGGTGGTAATGAGTTACCTTAGCGAGAAAGATTTGGAAATTATGGATTGGCCACCGCAAAGTCCTGACTTAAATCCAATAGAAAATCTTTGGAAGACCTTAGGAGTGAAAGTTATGGAAAGAAATCCCACTAACACGGAGGATTTGTGGGTGAAGCTTCAAGAAGAATGGTCTAAAATTAGTATCGAGGATTGTCAAGAACTGATTCGTTCTTGTAGTCGAAGATGTGCAGCTGTCATTGAGAGCAAGGGCTCATTTATTAAATGTTGATTGTACCTGTATTTTTATTGGGGTTTTTTTTGCCGTTTACATTGTTTTTCTCAATTTTGTCCCTTACTTTTGGACGTTCCAAATTTGAAAATAAATAAATAATTGTTATAATTCTTTTTCTATCCTTTGCAAATGATTCAAATTTTAGTATGTTATTATGGATGATAACGACTACCAGTTGTCAAAATTTCAGCTTTTCACAGTTGTTATTTCTAACAAATATTAGGTTTTAAAATTTTGTCCCTTAGTTTTGGACGCTACTGTATCTCTCTCTCTCTCTCTCTCTCTCTCTCTCTCTCTATATCTCTATATATATATATATATATATATATATAGAATATAGAACGAGATCGTTTAATATCTCGATCTGTTAATATTTATTTATCGCTCTCTCCCTATATGTCTCTGTATGTGTGTGTATCTTATATATAACATATAAGGAGATCATAATATTCATCTATATATTGATCTGTTAATATCTATCTATCTGTCTATCTATCTCTCTCTATAAATATATATATATATATATATATATATATATATATATATATATATATATATATATATATATAAGTAGATCGTTTCATATCTCGGTCTGTTAATATCTATTTATCTCTCCCTATATATATAATATTTATATGTGTGTGTGTGTGTATCTTATATATAATATATAAGGGGATCTTTTAATATTCATCTATCTATCTATATATATATATATATATATTGATCTGTTAATATCTATCTATCTCTCTCTCTGTATATATATATGTGTGTGTGTGTGTGTGTGTGTGTGTGTGTGTGTGTGTGTGTGTGTGTGTGTGTGTGTGTGTGTGCAAAATGTGTGTGCAAAAAAAGAACACGTTAGGTAAATAATCCAGGGTTCTTTGGTATTTTTTTTTATTTTTTAAAAAACAGTGCTCCATACAGAAGTAGAGCTTAGATTATAATTATTTTTTTTAACTTGATTCCTACGCTACATAAGAGTTCTCATGTTTCAAAAACGAAAGCCGAAAACCTCAATATAATTATTGAAATTAAATTGAATTAAACTATCAAGCCCTGTTTCATCCTCAAGCGAAAATTTAGGAATAACAATTCTTGAAATTTACGCATCTTTATAAGCATGTTCATTCGCAAAATTAATTACTATGGAAACGGCTGGGGCGACCATTATGATAAGGGACCAAAGAGTTAATTTTTATCCACATATCAGTCACCTTCAGAAAGAGGTCAAGCCGTGGGTCGGGGTATCCATTTCAAAGCGAATGATGGCATTCGTGTGCGCACATCATCTGGTCAGTCACAGCGAAGGATAGCTTTTGGCACCATAATATATCGTTAAGTATATATATATATATATGCAGAAATATAGTTTTAACGTGTGCAATATTTATGGGATAAAGTGTCCAATATCAGAGATAGAGTGTATGTAAATATAAATATAAAAGTGAACATTAATTTACGGGCTGTTTCACGCTAGACGCGATCCCGGCGGCCTGACGATTGCGTCTAGCATAAACTGATTGTTGACTTCAATTTTCACATATATATATATATATATATATATATATATTAAAGGTAATAAATCTGTTGGTATTACAAGTAGATCTTAGTAATATAAAATATTAAAATGACAAATTTTATTTTTTTAGAGGAAATAATTAATGAAATAAATATTCTTACCGGGTTGAATTCTAATTTTATTTTTCAAGGAAATAAGCGATATGTGATGATTTGGGGTTTTATTTTGTATATATATATATATATATATATATATATAAAATCGATCATCCTGTATATATATATATATATATATATATATATATAGTAAAGTTAATAAATACGTAGGTATAAACTCCAAGTATCCTGATCCACAAAAGAGCTCAATGTTTTATTATACAGAGCAAATCAGTGTAACCTGGATATAAGAGAAACCCGGATTAATTTTCTCTGGTCCCAAATTGTTATCTATAAACTGCCAAACCCGGATATAGAAACCGGATATACTTCTTCTCCGGTCCCGACAACTCTCTTACATATATATATATATATATTCCGGGATTGAATAAGAATGACGAATTTTATTTTTTCATCGGCTGAAATAAACTTATTTCATATAGGAATATCTGTATATATATATATATATATATATATGTCTATCTGAAATTTTATATATATCCGACAGTTAACATCTATCTATCTGGTTGGATAGATGTGAGTTTGTGACCCTGGGTTTCACGCTTTAGCGATCGTCAGACAAACTGATTCATGTTTTTAAAAAAATTGGGTTTATGTAGATTGCGTGTATTGGTGTTATTGTGGAAGTGGTGGGGGAAACTTTGTCGCTTATTTCATCGTACTAACGCAAACATCGATGTATGCAGACACATATACATACTTGGTCGTCCGTCGGGACTCATACATATATAAACATATGTGTCAGTTTCGGATATGACATATGTATGTATACGGGTGGTGTTGTGTTTATACATACGCATTTGTATGTTGAAATGTTGAAATTTAAAGATTGGAAGTGTGGCGGAAATGTCTCGTGAATGTATCCATGTCATATTATTTATTTTTCCGCTGAATAATATTTCCTCGCATGTATGTATATATGTGTGGTGGGGTTTGTGTAAAATTATGATAGGTAAAAATATTATTATTTATATTTATTTTTAAATCTTTTGAAAAAAAATGGCGATTTATTTGTTATATTTAAAGCTGGTTATTTGTTTTTGGTGACTGTGTGTATGTACCAGGGAGAAATTTGTAATCCTTATTGCTTATTTTATATGGTGATGTTTAATATTCAATGTGCCTATATCATATGATGTGATAGTAATGTTGCAAGGGATTGGAGACAATGATAATATAATTAGCTAATAGTTATTGTAAATTGGTAGAAATTGTAAATTGGTATAAATGATTAGTAACGGTGGTGGGAGAATGATAAAACCATGAATGTAGTTGAGCGCTTTCTAAGAAGTACCGCGCATATAATATATAAATAATTATACATATATATATATTTATTTATATTTATATACACTTTTCACACACACACACACACATATATATATATATATATATATATATATATATATATATATATGGATCTGTTAATATCTGTGTATCTATTACAATATGCTTCTATCTATATAGATCTATATTTATTTTAATTGTTGATTTGCTTCTAACTTTTGTTGATTTCACACGCGCAAAAAACATTTCACCTAAAACTTCACACATACATACCTTCACACACATGCACTTCACGTGTTTATATATATATATATATATATATATATATATATATATATATCTGTATGTGTGTATGCATGCGTGGCGTGTGCATGTGTGTGTGTGTGCGTGTGCGTTTGTCCGTGTATTATTTGTTTATATAACTGAGAATTTATTAAACAAATATTGAGAATGCCTGCGAGGCACCTCACGCGGAAGAATTAGTCATCTTCTATATTTGGCAATTGTTTGTCGTCGTGGCAAGAATGCGAAGGTCACGAACATCCTTATCCTAACATTAACAAATCCTGACTTTTGCAGTTTTAGATTTTCTTTGTGTAGGCATATCTCTCTCTTCATATGTCGTACACGGCGAACAAGGAAACAAGTACATATTCATAAGAAAGCAAGGGCAACCGAAAGAATAGAATGGTAATGAATTTCGGATGGAAATACAATGGAATTTAGGAAGAATACATTTGTCTTTGGTCAGAAAAGAATCCAATAATTGATGTCAAAATAGGCGGGGGTTAAATGTGTAATAATAATCGATGGTGTAATGTTAGCAAGCTCGCCTCGCTAGATGCATTACGACGGAAGAGTTAGTGAGTTCGAATCTCAGTAGGTGCTCCATCCATTCGGCCTTGTGCCACATCTAAGGCATTCATAGAAAACCACATACGTCACTTCGACATAGTGTAATTGTTAGCATCAATTACGACTGAATAGAGACTTCGATCCTAACTGGGTGCTCCGCATTTCCGGCCTTGTACCACATCTAAAGCATGCATAGAGAAGGACAGAGGTCACTTCGACATAGTGTAATGGTTAGCATCAATTACGACTGTATAGAGACTTCGATCCTAACTGGGTGCTCAGCATTTCCGGCCTTGTGCTACATCTAAAGCATGCATAGGAAAGCACATACGTTACTTCGACATAGTGTAATGGTTAGCATTAATTACGACTGAATAGAGAGTTCGATCCTCACTAGGTGCTCCGCATTTTAGGCCTTGTGCCACATCTAAGCTACGCAAAGAAAAACGACATCGGTAACATCGATATAGTATAATGTTTAGTAAGTTTGTCTTGCTAGTTTATTTAGGATTGAATAGTCCTCACTGGGTGCTCCGCTTTTTTGGCCTTGTGCCATATCTAAGCTACGCATA